TAGGTAGGTAGTTAGGTAGTTAGGTAGTTAGGTAGTTAGGTAGTTAGGTAGTTAGGTAGTTAGGTAGTTAGGTAGTTAGGTAGTTAGGTAGTTAGGTAGTTAGGTAGTTAGGTAGTTAGGTAGTTAGGTAGTTGGTTAGTTGGTTAGTTGGTTAGTTGGTTAGTTGGTTAGTTGGTTAGTTGGTTAGTTGGTTAGTTGGTTAGTTAGTTAGTTAGTTAGTTAGTTAGTTAGTTAGTTAGTTGGTTCACTTGCTTGTGTAAAAAGTTGCACTTATACTTGTATTTTACTTAGATGTATACATATTGTAACTCTCAGAAGAAGTGTGTTTTTATATGTGTATATATATATATATATATGAATTCATGTTCGTCCAGTTCTATTCCGGCTATTCGGCACCTTGAAGCATACAGCAGTGGGGGACTCCAGGACTTACGGACGCTCTTGGAGCAGTGATACCTTGTCCTCGAACCCTAAATCCTAAAATGGGGTTCCCGGGTTTAGGGTTTAGGGTTTAGGGTTTAGGGTTTAGGTATGATCCCTGTGGCCGGAAAGCTTTAAACCCAAGCTGCTGCGCCCAAATTAGCCCGAAGGAGATCGTCCAGCCTTTCGACTTCGAGAAGAGTGCCAGGATCACTCATGCGATTTGGGGGGATAGGGTTTGGGAGCCTCGGACTTAGGGTTTGGGGATTTGGGGTTTAGGGGTTTAGCTTAGAGAAGTTAGAAGGCGTTGTCGAGCTCGTTTTTTGCTCCGTAAGTTCTCTAGCAGGGTCCTGGAAGCTCTGCTTCAGGGCTGGATTTAGGGCTTCAGTGCCTGGGGACAAGTGGCTTGAAACTAAGAAGTTGGTTGTGTCCGTCCACAAGCTGGCCAAACACTGCACCCAGGCTGCGTTGCCCCAAATGCGGCTGTGCAACAGACCCTAAACCCCTAAACCCCTTAACCCCTAAACCTCTAAGCCACTAAACCCGTAAACCCTAACCCCTAAACCCCTAATTAAACCCTAAACCCCTTAACCCCTAAACCCTAATCCAGCAGAGTCCAGGATAACCGCACACCTTAACCTTCATAGACTCATAGGCAGCCCTACCTCTCGTAGCTCTCCTACCTCGCTGACGCTGCAGCAAGTTCAGGGGCTTGGGGTTTAGGGTTTAGGGTTTAGCGGGGGCCTTCATGCTTCGCTAAGGCTTCTGCAGAGCTGGCCAGCAGAGGATAGGGTCAATCATCTTCGTCACACCCTCAGCCCCTAAGCCCTAAATGCTACAAATCTTAAGAACCCCCAAGCCCCCAAAATCACAGCTTCCGCCGGTGAGGAGCCAGCTTCCGCGCATGGTCTGGCGCACCCTGGATGCCATCTGCGATCCGCAGCACATCATGCAGGCCCGGAGCTGACTCAGCGGGTCGCGTTTAGGGTTTAGGGTTTAGGGTTTGGGGTTTCGGGTTTAGGGTTTAGGGTTTAGGGTTTAGGAGTGTTCAGCTCGGGAGTTTAGGGGTCTTGGGGTTTAGGGCTTTGGGAGTTTAGGGTCTTGGGGTTTAGGGCTTTGGGAGTTTAGGGGTCTTGGGGTTTAGGGGTTTTGGGAGTTTAGGGTCTTGGGGTTTGGGGCTTTGGGAGTTTAGGGTCTTGGGGTTTGGGGCTTTTGGAGTTTAGGGTCTTGGGGTTTGGGGCTTTTGGAGTCTAGGGTCTTGGCGGTTAGGGGTTTTGGGAGTTTAGGGTCCTGGGGTTCAGGGTTTGGGAGTTTAGCATCTTGGGGTTTCGGGCTTTGGGAGTATAGGGTCGTGGGGTTTGGGGTAGGTGTAGTTTAAAGGTGAGGGTGTAGGGCTTTCTGTTTGGGTGCAGGGTTTCTAAGCCGTACGTTCGTACAGCTTGGGTCTCGAGGTGGATGCTGTGAGCGTTTTTGGCATCACCCGCTTCTGACCAAGCAGAAGGCATGGGTTTCGGATCTCTCCTCCTAGGGCCGTGAGGAGCTTATTTGAGAGCTGGGGTTTTTGGGTTCTGGCGTTCAGAGTTTAGGGTTTGGGGGTTTAGGGGTTTCGGGGTTTAGGGTTTAGGGTTTAGCCCGAAGTACTTCCGAGGCCGTCCGGTCTATGGGAATCAAGACGCAGCGGCCTGGCCAAGAAAACCCGAAGCCTTAAAGCCCTCAACCCGAAAACGCTCAACCCTACAACCCAGAGCACTAACTTTTAAAACCCGAAAAATCCTTAGACTTCACTGGCCCGTAGGTCGTAATATCCGTTTCTAGTATTTGAGGCCCAAGACCAGAAATCGTAGTGTTAGGGTTTAGGGTTCAGGGTTCTGGGCTTACAGGGCTTAAGCTTTAGGGTTGAGAGGCCCAACCTTGGTATGTTTCAGACATTTTCCAAGCTTTGGGGGTCTGAACCCTCATGTAGGGCCCTCCACCCTAAAGCCGTTAAAAGGTTGCGGGAAGGGACGCTGCTTCGACTTCTCACCAGCATCCAGGGGACTCTTCCGGGGTTCCGGGCTTATGGCCTAGGGCTCACAGGCTTTAAATTTTAGGGTTTAGGGTTTAGGGTCTAAGGCTATACATGTTGGTTGCCTCGGTGGTACCATCGACTCCACTCGGTCGCAAAACCCACCTGCCGCTACAGCCCAAGTTTTAAGCCTTGAGCCACTTGACACTCTGGGAGACAACGCTGAAGCTCCCCCGCAAGACGAAGAGGCTTCTTCTCTACTCGTACCAGGCACAGGATAAACAGTTTACGGATGGTTTCCTGCACAGTACTTCCTGACACCCAGGAGAACCCTGTACCCGAAGCCCTAAAGCGAGTGTTGTGTCGGCTTCTCTGCCGATGATCGTGGCTGTCGCCCTCATTCCGCTTTTGTCACGTCATTCTGTTATATCCCGGTTCTCTGATTACCACGGCTTTTGCTGTATGCATGCGTGCCTTT